ATCCTCCATCCTGAAATTACGTTGCCTATAGTTGTTCAAACACTTCCAGCAGGCAGGGCTCAGTGGCTCACGCCTGTAATCCCAGCACTTTGGGAGGCCAAGGCGGGCAGATCATGAGGTCAGCAGATCAAGACCATCCTGGCTAACAGAATGAAACCCCATCTCTACTAAAAATACAAAAAATTAGCCAGGCATGGTGGCACGCGCCTGTAGTCCCAGCTGCTCAGGAGGTGGAGGCAGAAGAATCGCTTGAACCCAGGAGGCAGAGGTTGTAGTGAGCCAAGATGGCGCCACTGCACTCCAGACTGGGCGACAGAGACTCCAGCTCAGGCAAAAAAACAAAACAAAACAAAAAAACACTTCCAGCTGAAAAGTTTGGGAAAATGCTGAATAATATGTTTCAGATGCCTTACTTATGGACAATACATATGTGCAAAGACACGGGATGGAACGGAAGAAAGTCACAAAAATCCTTTTACTAGCTTTAGTTGTGTCAAGACTTCACAGGAAAAGAGAACTTACTTTATCAGATCTAAGTTTGAAGTTTTTTATATAAGTGGAAGAGCAATAGGGAGTCTACTGTTTTGCTCCTACTACCCAGAGGAAGGAAATAAAAAATGTCCACACAACAAATGAACCAAATGTATAACCAAACCCTCAGCCCCAAGGTGTCTCTGATGTACTGCAGGAACCAAGGCAGTCTCCGAATTCAACTATTATTGGCCTGTCTCTTTTAATTGAAAACAATTGCCCTTTCCCCACCCATCCATGAGTATGACTCATCAGCTGCCTCCGGACCAAGTGTTTTACAAAATACTCTGCATCACCATGGCAACAGCCCTGGATCTGCCCTCACTTAGGGCACAGTTAGCCTGAGTACTACCAATTTTTTTTTTGGCGGGGGGTATCTGTTATAAATTTGAAACATTAATCACAGGAAGAGGCCGTTTGGCACCCGAGAGCTGTCACACAGCACTGCAAGAAGCAAAGAGAAAAAGGGAAGAGCCAAAATAACATAATTACTTCTTCATAGCTAGTATATGTCTCTACCAGATTACACTGAACTACCTGAGGAAGATGGGAAACAGAGATCGTGGTAATTATTAAGGTCTTACTATGATGCACTCCTAGTCCTCCACTATCATTATTCCTATTTTACAGATGAAGAAACTGGGATCCCGAGGGCTTAAGGTTATGCATCTGGTGAGTAACAGGGCCAGGATTCAAGCCAGGCAGTCTTCTTCCAGGGACCCACACCCTTAATCACTATGCCTGATGACCCAGAGTTATAGGAAAGGAAGAGCCTCGTAAGCTATTGTTGGCTTTTGTTGATTTGTTTGTTTTTGCTGACTATCGTTAAATTATATCAAGGCTTTAAAGACTAAAACAGGATGGATTTCAAATGCGACAGTTAACTGCTAAGGAAGCAAACACTGAATTGTGTAGTGGAGACCTGGCTACCAAGATGGACATGTTCCAGTCACAGGTGGAAGGACAAAGTTCTGTTTGGTGCCCATCAACTTAAATCCTTCCTTACACCTGGTAGTTGTCACCATCTTTCACAGTCACAGATTCTGCCACTTTGGCCAGGCATCTCATCAGTCCTAGCCCTCATCACAAAGGGGTCTCATGGGGACAGGTCAGCACAAGCCCACCACCATGACCAAAAGCACAACTCACAGTACCTATCCTGCTGGCAGAAGGGATCAAGGGCACCAAGGACAGCCTCATCTCCCAGAGAAATGTCCTCGTTTGCAGGATGCCTCATTGGCTGCCTAAACTGGCAGGACTTGCGAAGTCTATTTGCTCTGAATCCAGAGATGTTGTTTGAGACTCAAGAGATGAAAACGGAGGCAATTTCTACATTCATCTAATGCACAGCTAAGAGTGGAAGTTAGAATTAAAAAAAAGAAAAAAAGAAACAACAAAAACAAAAAAGAGTGAAGGTTAGGTGAACCTGATTTCAAAAGCAAATCTAGTATTAAATGTAACCACTTTTTAAAGCACTAACGTGATGAAAGAATGCTGTCATTGTTGGCTAGCAACTCTCTTAGATCTAATTTGGGTCATCAAAGGTGACATGAAGCTCCTCTGGGCTCACAGCATTGTGCTGTAAACACTGTAGCTATGCTGTGCCACGATGCAAAGACATCATGCCACAGTAAGCATGTGGGATAGGTTTTGTCACCATGTTATGTCTGCCTCGGAGAGGTCAGCAAAACGTGCCTACCAGAAATTCATCAGAGTGCCTGGGCCCATGCCCCGCCTCTGCCATTTACTAGCTATGTGACTGGGCAGTTACTTTCCCTCTGTGTCCTTCGGTTTCCTTACTTGTAAAAGGAGCACAATAATATTTCCTACTTTTAGGGCTGCTATGAGAATCAGAGAAGTTAATTCATGCCAACTGCTTATAGGAGTTCCTGGCACGTCTTGCCACATACTTTGATCTTGGATTGAAGGACTTGCCATTCAGTTGAACTTACTGTACTTTTACCTGAGCACCCCTCAGCCTGCCCTCTGAAATAGGGTATGCGGGGAATATCAGTTTGCTTGCTTACTGGGATGCTGCTATATACAAAGGTAGGTTTATCTAATTCTCTATTTTGTTCATGTACAGTTTCTCTAAAGTATTTACAGCCAAAGGGGCCTCACCAGAATTTTGGAGCCCTGAGGGCTAAGTCAAGCACAATTACTTTTAAAAGTAATTCTGGGCCAGGCACAATGGTTCACGCCTATAATCTCAGTACTTTGGGAAGCTAAGGTGGGAGGATCACTTAACGCCAGGAGACAAAAAAAAAAGTAATTCTGATCACAGTTCCAACCAAGCACCTGGATCATGTTCAGAACAGGGAGTCACATGGACTTCAGAAAGACACACCATAAAGCCACATTATTTGCAATAAATTCACTAATGCAGCGATGAATGATTCTGTGGAATGAGACCCAATTCCTGTTGATTTAATACACAACTCCCTTCAGAGAGAGGGGTACAGGCCACCTTCAACTTCGTTATTGTCCCATGGAAATTTCTAAAAAGGAGGGACGTAGGTTAACAGTCTGGGGAGAGATGTGGCATCTGGGCACTTGTCTTGCCCCTCATTTGCAATGGCAAAAAAATATTACTTGGATTGAATATTTACTGGGGGGTGGGGTGTCTTTGGGGGAATAAGGAGCTGAAGTCCCCCAAATTGCTACTTGGTTACTGCCGCTTCTCTCTTTCCCTATTAAATGACACAGTGTTTAGTTAAATCAAAGATTTACCTTACTTATATTTTAAGATTATTTTGAGAATTTCAAACATTCCTATTATTCCCTTCCCCAAATAAGATCAATGAGGCTTTCTTGGAGTATTTTTTAATTCGGCTTTTCTAGATGTCTTAGAGAAAGGAAAAGAGAAACCATAGAAACGTTATTTGAGGCCGGGCGTGGTGGCTCACGCCTGTAATCCCAGCACTTTGGGAGGCCGAGGTGGGTGGATCACGAGGTCAAGAGATCGAGACCATCCTGGTCAACATGGTGAAACCCCGTCTCTACTAAAAATACAAAAAATTAGCTGGGCATGGTGGTGCATGCCTGTAATCCCAGCTACTCAGGAGGCTGAGGCAGGAGAATTGCCTGAACCCAGGAGGCGGAGGTTGCGGTGAGCCGAGATCGCGTCATTGCACTCCAGCCTGGGTAACAAGAGGGAAACTCCGTCACAAAAAAAAAAAAGAAGAAAAAAGAAAAGAAATGTTATTTGACCAGAGTCATTTTCCTGATTCAAGGACTTCCTTTTGAATATGCAACTGAATGCCCTGATACGACAGGCATGAAAACACATTCTTGTTCACTAGCTTGAAACATTTCTGATGAATGGGCCTAAGTTTCCAGTAAATGGCTAAGATCACTGATACTCTACTTCAGTTACAGTTCTTACATGATGTGGTTAGTAATGTTCAGTTTTGGGTTCTTGCTTTTCTACCTCCTGTTGGCTATGATCATTACTATGCGCAGTTATTGAGTAAGATATTCTGTATGCCAGGCAGCAGCCAATATAAATGCCTTTGAGCTGCAGCTCATGAGTACTTGAGAAAATGCCCTTGAGGCAATCCCTACCCAGTTCCAGTCTATTGTGGCCACATAGGAAAGAGGGCAAAGGATTTTTAGACTTTCTCACGGTTTTAAGAGAAGCGAGAAATTCAGGTTGTTTGTTTGTTTGAGATGGAGTTTCCCTCTTGTTGCCCAGGCTGGAGTGCAATGGCACAATGTCGGCTCACTGCAACCTCCACCTCCCAGGTTCAAGCAATTCTTACCTCAGCCTCCTGAGTAGCTGGGATTACAGGCATGTGCCACCACACCTGGCTAATTTTTTTGTAATTTTAGTAGAGACAGGGTTTCACCATGTTGGCCAGGCTGGTCTCAAACTCCTGACCTCAGATGATCCACCTGCCTCAGCTTCCCAAAGTTCTGGGATTACAGGCGTGAGCCACTGCGCTCAGCCAAAATTCAGGTTGTTACATGAAAGCTCCTGATTTTAAGGTTGGCAAATTACTAAAATGTTTTTAAAGAACTGCATGGATGACCAAGCACATAGAGACCACTGATTCATAACCTCTAGCCACTAATGGCATCCACTGCACATCTGCTTCAGACCTGTAAAGGGTGGGTAACTTTGGAGCACATGTGATCCTTACTTCTTGGTCTTGCCTTGGGTGCCCAATGTTCTGGTTGTTGTACGCCAATCCTCTCATTTCATCCCCCACAACTACAACACTATGAGTTAGGAACTAGTGTTACCTACCTTAACAGATGAGAAAGCTGAGTCTTGAGGAGCTTAACTAAAGTCACACAGAAAGCACACAGCAGAGATTTGTCCTGGGGCAGCCCTCTGTTCTGAGCAGGGAGTCCACTATTTCCTCCAGCCCTAACATCCTGGGAATCCACTAAAGCTGCCTCTCAGAGTAGAGAACTAAAACATCCAAATTCACTGTGGTCAGGCATCTTAAACTGAAAATATGAAATTTTTTTTTTGGAGTTGCATACATTTTTGTTTAATCCAAAGAAGTCAGCCTCCTAAGTATTGCTTAAACAGGTTTATCAGAATTAAGTAGGCACAACACACATGCTTTCAGAAAAGCTTTCCAGCCAGGGGAGTCACGTGGCACTCCCCAGCATGAGGAACTTGTTTTGCCAACTTGCAGAAGAAGGAGTAACCTGAAATGAAGAAGCGAGAATCCCACCCTCAGCACCCCCCGACAGCTTCCTCGGCTTCTTTTTCTTCTGAGTCACTCCCTGAAACAGTCTCTGCATCTAAGACCAGCCTTGGGCTAAACCCAGCTGGCCTGAAGGCTCAACTCACATTAAATGGAGCTGGGAGTCACTTTTGCGTGTGTCCACAGTTTGAAGTGTCCTCTCCGAAGGTGAAGTGGGGGAAGCAGGTGCGCTCCGGGGTGAAGTGCAGGGAGGCAAACTCTGGCTGGGTTCCTGTAAACATCCATGGCAGTTGCAAATAATCAGAAGCTGAGGCCAGGTAGTCAGTGTGATGCTGCAGGCAGATGAGGTCTTGGGACACCCCCTGCCTTCCCCTCTTCTGCGGGAGCAGAGGCCTTTCCAATCTCCGCACTCAGTCCCAATCTGCGTTCTACCCTCCTGGGTCTGAAAAGGAACCTCTCTGTTGGCACGAAGCTTTCGAGGGGAGAAGGCAGGTCCTCCAGGGGAGGGCCTCCTCCTGGGGTCCCATCCCCGTCCAGATGGTGCCCCCAACCAGCAGCGGCAGCATGATCTGGGCAGCTGGTCCAGGGAGTGGATTGCGGATCGTGGAGGGAAGAGGGGAACGGCAGTCGAGACCCTACTCCAAGTACCCATCAAAGACGTCGAGCTCCGAGTCAGCATCGTAGAGGCCCGAGCTGGGGTCTGAGAGCACGCCGAGGTCCACGAGCAGGAAGACGAGGCCAACGTTGAGGACGATGTACTCCATGAGAAAGGCGTAGTACAGGATCAGCACATTGACGAAGAAGAGGCCCACGCAGAACATAGAGGGCAGCAGCGGCGGCGGCACGTAGGGGACCAGGGGGCCCAGTGCGTCCAGGTGGGCTGCGACCCGGGCGCCGAGCATGCAGCGGGTGGCGAGGGCGGCGGTGGCCCGGCGATCCCGGCGAGATCAGCCGCTGCGGCACCCGGGCAGCCGGCGAGGGCACAGCGCAGCCATCCAGGGGCGCCCCAGGGCTCGACAGAGGCGGCGTCGGGCTCCAGGTGCCCCATGCCAAACGCTCCCTCACCCCTGAAACACGCTGGGCGGATCACCGCACCCCAAGATGTGCCCCCCCCCCCAAGGCCCTCTCGACCGCCCGGGCGGCGAGGCAGACCCCCTGAAGTGGCCAGCGGATGCCCAGCTCCCCTCGAGGTGCCTCCCTGGCGGGGAGGCGGGGACCCCACCGCGGCTCAACGTCTAGGGCGGGTCCCGGCAGCCGTCTCTTCTGCGAGGTTCAACCGGTCCTCACGCCCCCTCCGCTTCCCCGCAGGCCCAGAGCCCATGGCTGCAGCAGCCGCGTCGCCCTCCCGGCCGCGCTCCGAGCTCAAAATACGAAATTTAATTCTTCTCCTTTAATGAGAGAGAACAGTGTTGGAATTTTGCCAATAAACATCTAAAAACTGCAATTTTAAGAGCTATTGGAAGTGTTTTCCTGCCATAGGTTCAAATTCCTAACTTGCAGAACTTGGCAAAAGAGTGCTATGAGTGGATGCCAAACACAAAGGAGGAGTGCAGGGAAAGGTACGATGTGAAGACTGTGGGATTTCTATTGCCCTGTTACAGTAGTGAGAACTAGAGGCTGCAAAAAGGGGTGGAAAAATCTCTGCAGGCATTCACCAGAGCCAGATCCAGTTTTTAAGGATTACTTAGAACAGTGTATAGTTACCAAGCAACTGTAACCAAGTTACTATATTAGTAGTAAAAATACAATACATACACATACACAATCTTTCCAGTGAATGCCTCCTGACTCATTTTCACCAGTCCTAACCGCCATCATTCAAAGATCTGCAACAGCTATGATATCATCATTTCTTCCCGTGAGCTGGAGGGGAAGAAATACTATGAGTAGGCTGGGCACAGTGGCTCACCCCTGGAATTCCAGCACTTTGGGAGGCCGAGACGGGTGGATCACCTGAGGTCAGGAGTTCGAAACCAGCCTGACCAACAAGGAGAAACCCCGTCTCTACTAAACAATTAGCCAGATGTGGTGGCGCATGCTTGTAATCCCAGCTACTCAAGAGGGTGAGGCAGGAGAATCACTTGAACCTGGGAGGTGGAAGTTGCCGTGAGCAGAGATCATACCATTGTGCAAAACTCCATCTCAAAAAAAAAAGAAAAGAAATACTATGAGTGGGGTGTGTGTGTGTGTGCGCGCGCGTGTGCGCATGCACTCGCATGCAAGTGAGAAACGGCAGCAGCTAGAAAGGGAGTCAAATGACCTTGAAAAATACTATGTGTGCTGTGTGTGTGTGTAAGTGAGAAGCAGGCAGGGCAGCTAGAAAGGAAGTCAAATGACCTTGATGGATATCCCAGCAACAGGCTTAGTCAGATTCACTTAGGATACACTGATAAATTCAGGACTCACCAGCTTCTACCATAACAGAGGTGGGGTGCAATGGTTACTCACACAGGCTCTGGCACCAAACTGCCTAGGTTTGAATTCTGATTTCTTTACCTACTAGCTATGATTTCTTGGATGAGTTACTTCACCTCAATGAGTTTTAATTCCCCCATCTGTAAATTGGGAATAATAATAGACCCTAGACTGTAGGGCTGTTGTGAGGATTAAATGAGTTAAAACAGACAAAATGTTTGGAACAGCATATGATACATAACTAGTAGTCAACAAATACCACTTCATTACTGTCATCTCTCCTAACGAAAATCCCAGTAACTCAAAAATGCTGACCCACTGACCAGTGATTCTCAACAGGGATTCACTTCTAGAATGAGTCTGAATGTTTTTTGGTTGTCACAATGACTGGCAGGCACTGCCAGCATTTTCTGGGTAGCATTACGGTTACATATTAGATGTTCTGTAATCCATGGGTCAGGGCAATAATAAACTGCCCCCATGTCCTATGCAACTTTATAAATCCTTTCCGTCTTTATGTAAGTAAAAATACTGTTTATGATTATCTGAACCCGGAGCCTAATTTCGTCTTACATATAAACACAAAGCATTTTTGCACAGCGTGAATAATACTAAATTTTCCAAGAATACAACTGTCATGTAAATCAAGTAAAACTAACTTCACGTTGTTTGGAATGTTCCCAAGAGTTGTTCAAATTTTGTAAAATTAGATGACTAACAACAAATCTGAGTTGCCAGCCTAATTAATCTATACGAGCCAGTAACTGTAGTTACTGCACACAGTGATTCTATGTGTACTTGCAAGCATTTTATTCCATCATTATGTCTTCTAGGTAGCTATGTTTGAGAAATTATGTATTGGAATTAATAGCATATTATCATGTTACTTCCCTTTTATTTCTCCTTTAAATGACCATTTTGTTTTTTAAGTTAGGCATATATATGTTATATTATCTAGGAACTTCATTTCAGGAAAGCAAAGGGAGTATTCCAAAATGTTTATTAAGAAAAAGGGCTGGCCGGGCGCGGTGGGTCAAGCCTATAATCCCAGCGCCGAGGGGAAAGAAAAAGGGAGGCCGAGGCGGGTGGATTGCGAGGTCAAGAGATCGAGACCATCCTGGTCAACATGGTGAAACCCCATCTCTACTAAAAATACAAAAAATTAGCTGGGCATGGTGGCGCATGCTTATAATCCCAGCTACTCAGGAGGCTGAGGCAGGAGAATTGCCTGAACCCAGGAGGCGGAGGTAGTGGTGAGCCAAGATCGCGCCATTGCACTCCAGCCTGGGTAACAAGAGCGAAACTCCGTCTCAAAAAAAAAAAAAGGGATGTGGGACCATTACAATGGAAGGACATACTCAGAGCCCACACTGAAAAGATAATTCAAGGCTGGGAGCAGCAGCTCAGCCTGTAATCTCAGTACTTTGGGAGGCCAAGACAGGAGAATTGCTTGAGCTCAGGAGTTAGAAACCAGCCTGAGTAAAACAGCGAGTCTTTATCTCTACTAAAAATCAAAAAATTCGCCAGGCATGGTGGCACATGCCTGTAGTCCCAACTACTAAACAGGCTGACAGAAGAGGATTGTTTGAGCTTGGGGAAGTCAAGGTTACAGTGAGTTATGATTGTGCCACTGTACTTCAGCCTAGGTGATATAGCAAGACTCTGTCTCAAATAAATAAATAGGACATTCATTAATTGCCAGACTGTGCAAACAGCTAAATTCTTTTTTTTTTTTTTTTTTTTTTCCTTTTGAGACAGTCTTGCTCTGTGGCCCAGGCTGAAGTGCAGTGGCACAATCACCGCTCACTGCAGCCTTGACCTCCAGGCTCAATTGATTTTCCTACCTCAGGCCCCTGAGTAGCTGAGACTACAGGCACACGCCACCACACCCAGCTAATTTTTGTATCGTCATGTTTTACTATGTTGCTCAGGTTGGTCTCAAACTCCTGGGCTCAAGTGATCCACCTACCTCGACCTCCCAAAGTGCGAGGATTGCAGCCATAAGCAACCGGACCTAGCCAGCTAAATTCTTTAACGAGTAAAATGACTTTAAAAATGTCAACCATGTTAGTACTCGATGAAGAAGGCAGAATAATGCCCCCCACCCCACAAAGATGTCCATGTCCTAATCCCCAGAACCTAAGAGTATATGAGATTAAATGGCAAAAGGGAGCTAAGGTTACAGATAGAATTAAATTTGCTAATCAAATGACTTTGCAATAGGAATTATCTAGGTGTGCCCAATGCAGTCAAAAGAGCCCTTAAAAGTAGAACGCGGAGGCAGAAGAGTAAGAGCCACAGGAAGACATGTCTATGAAAGTAAGCAGAGAGATGCAGTGCTGCTGGTTTTGAAGATGAAGGAAGGGGACACTGGCCAAGAAATGTGGGTGGTCTCTAAAAGCTGGAAAAGGTGAGGAAACAAGTTTTCCTTTGGAGCCTCCAGAAAGGAACATAACCCTGCTGACACCTTGATTTTAGCCCAGTGAAACCCAGTTTGGACTTCTAATCTACAGAACTGTAACAGAGTAACATATTTGTGCTGTTTCTTTTTTTTTTTTTAATTTTTTTTTTTTTTTTTTTGAGACAGGGTCTTGCTGTGTTGCTCAAGCTGGGGTGCAGTGGTATAATCATGGCTCACTGCAGCCTTAACCTCATAGACTCAACTGATCCTCCCACCTCAGCCTCCGTAGTAGCTGAAACTACAGGCACATAGCACCACATCCTGTTAATTTTTTTTCCTTTTTTGTAGAGACTGGGTCTCGCCGTGTTGCCCAGACTGGTTCTGAAATCTTGGGCTCAAGCAATCCTCTCTCCTCAGCCTCCCCAAGTGCTGGGATTATAGGTATGAGCCAACATACCAGGCCCATATTGTTTAAACTGCTAAATTTGTGGTAATTGGTTGCAGCAGCAATAAATAACCAATATACCTGAAATATACATATAAGAAGTATTACTAAATGAAAAAAGCAGAATTTGGAAAACACACGCACACTGCCCAAAGCTGAATTTAAATAAATAAGCAGATGAAAAGTGTGAAGCTGTGGTGACTCAAAAGGAACAAACCATGAGCTTCAAGTCCATGACAAGCAAAAAGGACAAAAAAAATTTTTTTTAATGGACAAGGCTCAAGAGAACCAAGTCCTAGGCCCAGCTCCACAACAAACTTGTTATATGAAGTTATGAGAGTCAATCATCTCTCTTGGCCTCATGTTTTCTCATTCAGGTAAAAAATATTTACAGAACACCTAGTACTAACTGGACTTGAGGCTTGGCTTTCTACAGCCAAAGAACAAGACATTGTCCTTGGTCTCAAGGAGTTTGTGTCACTCTGGAAGAAAAAGTCTCCGAGGTCTCACTTGCCTTTAACAAGTCTGTGATTCCATTAATCTAAATAAAATTTAATGCTTCATACCTTTTACATATGTGTGTGAGGTTGCCTGAGTTCATAAATTTTTTAGATTGTAGGGAGCAGTTTTGTGAAATCAGA